AAGTCAGAGCACAAACACAGTCTCTCACAGAAACACTGCGTCTGAACGCTATCACTGGGTTCTGCTCGTTTTTCTCTGCTCTCCAGCCTCCAGACTTCTCTGACATTTTGTTTCCTCGGTTTCCTGCCTGTTGTTTCGAGTTTTCAGCCAAAATAATCAAATACATTAAGGTCAGACGCTAAATATTATATCCTGCAGTGGGAAAACTTTATTTATGAGATTGTCAGATGTAGCTGAATCAGTGAATAGACATTCAGATGAAGTTAAAAATCTTCTATTTCTCTGAGGATTTCCTTCATCTAGCTGCTGTTACAGACTCAACAGACAGGAACAAAGTGACAAATGACTAGTGCTGTGTATTGGCAAGAATCTGGTGATACGATATGTATCACAATACCAGGGCAACGATGCAATATACTGCAATATACTGCGATACAATAGGCACGACGATATATTGAGGTTTTTAAAAAAAAACAATCTGGTTGTAGGAAAATCCATACAGGTCTGAATGTCAGAGTGAATGTGAGTGTGAATGGTTGTACTGGAAAGTTCTATCTCTGCCCTCATCCAATAAATACCAGGTTTTGCTCTACAGCTCCCCCTGCTGAATGAATACGTCATTTCAGAGAACTCATCACAGGAGCGTAGCGTCCTCCTCCTTTATTGCAGCAGCAGTATTATTATGGCTGAACACACAGTGATCGCAGCTTTGGCTTTTAATTAAAGCCTAAGTTTTGTGTTTATATTTTTCCTCCTCCTCCTCCTCTTCCTCCTCCCCGTCGTCTCAGGCTCGTCTGAACAGCGGCTCCACCGAAGCTCCCGTAATTAGCCGGTGGATTAAGGTGCGCCGTACAGTTTAGCAGCACAACAGCTACACCTTCTAATTAAAGTCATTAAGCCTGGCTCTGTCTGCGTGTTTCTACTTGGTTAAATTCACTCTCGCTAAACTCACGATGCGGAGGCTGCAGGAATGAGATGGCGCGCCGTCGCCTCGGAGAGCGCTTTCACCGTGAACAAATATTAACGTGTGAGCTGGAAACGTGGAGCAGAAGGATTAAAGAGTTCCACTGCGACCAGGATCAGATCAAACACCTGTTGAGGATCACGTAGACCCTCAGACACTGAGACCACCACCTGTGGTGTGTGGTCTTCACACCATGGGTCTCCAACATGGAGGTCCGGGACTCCTATGGGTCTGACAGAGACATTGTAAGGAGGTCATGGGGGTCGTGGAGGGTCCCATGAACCCAGTTTTGGGAACCACGAGCTGTGATTCCTTGTTGATACAATGCATGAGTCATCAGATTCACTCCAGCAGGAGATTCAATTCATGACTCTTCATTACAGATATTTATCCAATCGTAATCCACTAATCTGACTCATTTATTAGTCCTAACTTTAAACTGTATCCTTAATCCTTAAAATACTCTCCCTGCCATTTTGGAAGCGGTTAATTTTTTTTTTTTTTCCTTCTCAGTCTGAAGCCTAGAATAACGAAGCTCTGAGCGTTTGGTTTTATTGAATAGCTTTAAAAAAAAAAGACGTCACTGTTCTGTCTGGTGAAATGTCTGCATCGATTGTTAAGTCACTGTGAAGCTGCGGAGTCGACATCCCATCATCTGAACAACAGCTTGTTATGCTGGAGTAATGATCAAGGTAATTGCTTGATAAATCAGTGTTCGACTGAACTGGCGGTGAACCAGGTCTGTGCCGGTGAAATGACACGTCAACGGCCGCTGCTGCTGCTGCCGCTGCCGCTGCCGGTGCCGCGGCTGCGG